ATTCAATTGACATATAGAATCTTAATGCCTAATCAAATGTAAGAAAACTTTATTCCAGATTCTTGAAACTTTTGTTCAATAATATGATTGAGTTTCTCACTCATTTCTATGGTAAATAGTTTTCCAATCTCCAACTTCTCCTTTACGAAAGAACACTTTATTTTCTGCCCCAGTTGACAATTTCCCATTTGTATTCACCTCCAAGTTGCTCAAATTCTCAAAGCTACACATTCTTAATATTTCATCCATCACTCCACAATTTTCTTCCTCTATGGAAAATGGACATTCCAAATATTCAGCCAAGCGTTTAAGCTGAAGTTTGGGTTGCACTTTAATTTCTTCATACATCAAGAAAAGTACTTTATTAGGCTTTTCTATACTCTGTTTCCAATAATCCAATATGTGATTCCAAAACGGACCATAAGGGCTCACCCCCTTACAAAAAGATTCAAATATTTCTTCAATGGAATGGATATCTTTGTGATGAAGTCTTAAATTGTTTGTAAAATGCCACATAGAAATGAAAGTGTCCTTAGGATTCCGACACAAGTAAACAAGTTTGGTTTTTGAATCTTTGACAGATTTTGGCAATGAAGCAAAGGGCACATGAGTTGACAAGAGTCTAGGTGAAGTGAAAGCAGAAAAATTAGGGACATGGCCATCAACATAGAGTGTGAGTTCCATGAATGGAATAAGATCATGAGGGTTCTTGTCAAGTAAAGGGTGATTTTGTTCAAAAACGGGATGTTTCATTCGATTCACTAAAACAAATAAAAGTGATTTTAACCAAGTGGTTCCTGATTTAGGAGGTGTAACAAGGATGATATCACTATCTTGGGCTTGAAATTGTTGTTGACATGCAATCACACCTTGGATTGTTCTTGGCGATGCCCAAAAACCTTGATAGTTATAAATATACGATCCCATCCATCCTTTTTCTTTTGGTAACACTGAGAAAAAATTCTTACACTCTTCACTTAAGCCCTCTTGATCTTGTAAGTATTTGGGAAGAGATGTTGTCATGGTTTTGAAGATTGAGTGTATATATAGAGAGAACTAGACAAGAAACTTTAAATAGAGCTCTTGTTTTGTTACATTACATTAATAATGTTGTTGTGGTGTCATGTTAGAAAACACTTTTTTTCGCATCTAATAATTGAACCGCAAAGTAAGAGAACTAGACAAAGCACTCTAGAGATAGCTCTTAATTAGGCATATCCATAGGGTAAAAAATTTAGTTAAGAAAAAAGTAGACACATCTAGTAATATAATTGTTAGTTGTCTCATGAAAAATTTTATAAGGAAAGTTTAATTGGATAAAATCTTGATTAAGGAGAAAATAGTGCATCACATATTTTACTATTCTTGATTAAAATATCACTTAATATCTAGAAAATGATGCATTCTAATCTTGTATATCAATTTCTTCAATATTGAGGTCGATAATGCCTTGAAAACAAATCCGCTTGATTCTGATCACTTGAACAAACTTTTTGAACATCTATTTAACCCATTTTTTGAAGAACACGAGTGATGATTTTTTTAAAATTACATAAGTGTTCGAATTGCTCCAAAGTTCCTAGAGACTCATTCAAACTATCTATCTAAGTTATGAATCATTATCTGGATCTATAAGAACTTTCAAACCTCTATTTCAAGTCCATTTACGTCAAATGTTGTTTTTGATCAATTTTTTGGCCTAACATTTAGCTTTTCGTTTTCTTCTCTGATACACATTTGGATGCCTCGAGACTCATGTCACCCGACCTCACAAGTCAAAATTCACATTTCAAACCCAAAATAAGTGTCAAAACGGTTATCGAATGGATCGTTACAAGTCGTTCTTTAATTTGTGCCCTCTCTAAACGTGAGTATATGTATAGAGTGTGGTTCCCTTTTTGTCCATGACAAAACAAAGTAATATGAATTTAATACATAATTTGTAATAATTTGAGTAATGATTAATGAACATCCAAAACAGTACCATTATATTACTAGTAGAATTTTTGTGATATATATGTTCTTGTTACATTAATCTCAAATACACATATCTCAAAAACATATACTCCAATATTATTTTTCGAAGCAAATAAAATAATCCCTAATCAAATATATGAAAATTTCAGTCCAGATCCTTGAAAAAAAATATTCAATGGATAGAAACAAAAAGGCAAATGACAGCTCGGTGCACAAAGCATCTTGTATTAATAGAGTTCATGAAAGGGTCACATGTTACACTCCAAGGAATGTGACATAAACAGTCTATCCTAATGCAAGCATTAGTGATTAAACTTTCACAACTCGAACGATAACCTATAGGTCACATAGAAAAAAGAATTACCTAACAATGGAGCAGCATATGAAAATGGAAATAACATGAAAAAAGTGAAGCAAATGAGTAGAAGAGTAAGGATGAATTTTTTATTCCATTGTTATGGTATTAATTTGATGAAGTGTAATTCTTTTGAAATGAAAGTAGGAATTTATAAGAGTCAAAGAAGGAAGGAAGGAAGGTAAAAGCCACAAAGTTCAATGAAAAGAAGAGAGAAAAAAGACATACACAAAGCACAAAACTCACACTTCCAAAATAAATTAAAATAGGTGTAAAACTCCATATATATATATATATGAGTTTTGCTTTTTTAGGAACCTTCACACCATTTTGGGTTGATTTTGTGTTACCTAACATCTTGCCCCCTTTGTAGGCCGGGGCGAAGTCAAGTAGGGTCAAATGAGTTTATCTTAATCTCATTTTTTTTATGTATATACGGTAAATGTTGAATTTCTGTTATTTTTTCATGTGTTTACTTATTTTATATTTTGAATCTTGTTTGTGAAAATCTTGAATTTGCCACTGTTTATAGGACAATAATAAATGGAGGTTATATTTGCTGACAAAATTGTTACACTTCTTCACGTATGTTTGTCTAGCTAGAAAACCCAATATGATAATTTAATTTAAGTGTTTTTGGATAAAAGGTTCACTTGCATTAGCAGACTTGTGAAATGATAAAAGTTAAATGTCCTTAACTCTTAAATCTTAACTAATGATTTTGAGTTTGAGTTTTGAAAATGACGTCTTCTTTGATAAGGAGCACTAAAATTCACCATATTATATTAGACTTTTTACGATGCAAATCCAAATTAGTCATGCTAGTGGACTATGAGCACCCAATGCTCAAAAAGGTAAATGAGTTTCAAATTCTACAAATAAAATTCCATGACGATAATTATCTTTCAATAGCATGGTTATTTGTGAATTTCACACAAATTTATTAGTAGTAATAATAAATAAATGGGAAAATTTTCAAAATGTCAACATTTTAGCATTTAATAGGATCCCTTAGCCACATTTTTAATATTTATTAAAAGTGTCAATAGTTTAGTTTGTTATATATCTGATTTATGTATTTCTTAATTTGTTTAATTTGAAAGAATACAATTATTTAATAACAGAAGGGAGAAAATCAAGGGAGAGAATATTTCAAAAAAAAAAGGTAAATATCACTTAATGTTCTGATCAGTTACATTTTTTTAAAGAAAACTCAAACGTGTGCCTTTTTCACAATGTATGTTTGTTTTTTTTTCTCCAAAATTTTGTAACCTTTTTTAAATCGTATTCATTCCAATATGTATATTATTTGTATTCATTTTAGTTTTCATGTTGTATTTGTATAATGAAACTTGTATTTTTTTTATTAGTTTGTATTCATTCCAATAGTTATGCCAAATGAATCTATAGTTATTTGAGAAACGTATTTGTATTCATGTATTTTTTCACTGTGTATTTTTGTATCCTTTTTTAAGTCGTATTCATTTCAATATGTATTTTATTTGTGTTTGTATTCATTCTAGTTTTTATGTAGTATTTTGTATAATAATATATAAAATACAAAAAACAGTATGATGAAAAAGTAAGATTTAAATGTAAAACTGAAAAGGAATAAGTGAATATTTGTTGCAATTATTCTTAAATAAAATACATAACTAGTTGACATACTTTTAGAATGAATACAAATTAGGAACAATACCAAAATTCATAAACTATGCAACATGATTTTTGAATGAATACAAATATTTATAGCCTACATAAGGTTTTGAATACAAATTGAGAAAAGATACAAAATTCTAAAAAATTCTATAAAAACAAAACAAAACAAACCAATAGGAAGTTGTTCTTCCTCTAAATAAAATACATATCTAGTTAACATACCTTTGGAATGAATTCAAATTAGGAACAAATAGAAGATTCATAAACTATACAACATGAGATTTTGAATGAATACAAACATTAATAGCATACATACAAATTTGAATATTAATTGAGAAAGGATACAAAATTCTAAAAAAAAAACTATAAATACAAAACAAACTAATAGGAAATTATTCTTCCTCATCTTGGTCTTCAACAACTTCTTCGAAATCTTCAGCACCCAATTTTGAAAATCAAAATATACTTGGTGACAATGTATTTACCTTTATTCGTGGGTGAAAAATATTTTGAAGAAATTGTGAGATTTCTTGAACAAATTGGAGGAAAGTAGAAGAAGTGATTTTCTTAGACAAGAAAAGGAGAGAACAGTGGCGAAAAACTCAAGAGAGAGAAAGGAAGAATTTGGGGTATAAACCTAGAAAGAGGGGAAAGTGGGTAATGGGTAGTTTTTTTCTTCTTTTTCACGTATAGGGGAGTAAATTAGTTGAATGTGGGGCCTGATTTGAGAAATAAAAAGAAAGAAAATCAATTATGTTAGGATACATTTTATTTGCTAAAATATTGACATATTGACATTTTCAATAATTATTTTAAAGTGTAGATGTTTTTAATAATTATGTTAGGGAGTTTGACTAGTTTGCTGATTTTCCCTAAATAAATTGGTCTTTAAAAGAAAAAAACCCAATATATGCAATATATTTGGGCTCAATGGGCCTTGACCAAAAGAATCAAAAAGACAAAAATCTCTCACAATAATTAACCATAGAAAAAAAAGGGACATTAAACATGAGTATACATGATATATTGTATAAGAACAAAAATGTAAGAAAAAGGTTTTACATCAATAGCCTTCATGTCTTTAATAAAACAAAGGGAAAATTGACATAAATAGCCACCCATCCAAATAATAGCCGATAGATAAATAATATACACATAGTATATATATGTATATTGGCTAGCGGATGTAAATATTTTTGGCCACGCGACCAAATGTGTAATTTCCCCTACAACATGCCACCCCTAAGAGAATAATGAATATCAACATGTATGCATACTTACAATACTCAAAAGATTCAAGATTTAAGGTCTTGTTATGTATATTCTTTAACTAAGAACAACAATTTAGAATCTACAACACAGAATGCCTTGTTTCCAACCTTTTTGTTTACTTAAACGCCTCCGTTCCGCTTTCGCCATTCTTACTGGACTGCTATTCCATTCATTTTGTAAGCTGTGAGGAAGTAAGAATGAAAATGTTCATCATAAAGTTACTAATATCAGTATCAAATTTGAAAAGAAAAGGGTAAGTAGCATACACTGGGAAGGCAAAGGATCTGGTGCTGGTTGTGCTGCTTTCGGATCGAAGAGATACGCTGCCGGAGTAAGATATAGGCCCTGAGTAAGTGATGGAACCTGATATAGGACCTCTTGCTGCAGAAAAACTTGCCTCTCCATCAGCAAAATGACTTTGTCCATTAGCCATATTTTGGGATTCAAGGTGTTGTTGGTGCGCGTTGTCAGCAGTATTAGCAAAAGGAACTTGACTTGAAGCTGAATTATTATCTGAGTTTCCGTTCTTGTGAACGGAGACAGCCTTTGGCATGTGAGAATCTTCAGGCAAGTTTCCGACTCCTCCTTCCGTGGTTTTTGTTGATTCTGGTTTGGTAAGATTGACGTCGAAAATACTAGTTCCCACTCCCTCTTTGATATTACCCTTGTTGTTCGTTTGACCGGATGCAGAAACTGCAGTTTGGCTTTTCAAAGTTTGCTCAGAAGGCACCTGCAGTTCAAGAAACGAAATCTTTACTTTATCGACCAGAAGAATGTGTCTGAAGAACACACCTAATTTCCGCGAATCTGTAATAATGATAGGAACAAACCTGATCAGGTTGCAGTGTAGATTGATCACCATCAGAAGTCTTTATATTGGACTCTTCCACACGAACAACGGTATTAAGAGACGATGGTTTTTCTGATGCATTAGTAGTACATTTTGAACCAAAAATCATCAACAAATCCTCGAGATAAGAATCCTTATCCGCATCTTTGTTGGCATTATTCTCTAGGGATGGATTGAAACCGTTTGGAACAGGTGCTCCAGTAGCTTCTATTTCTGTATCATGAGTCACAGCAATGTTCTTGGCATCTTTGAAAGATGAATCTTGAGATACAGATGCAATGGTCGACCCCATATCGACACTTTTCCTGGTGTTGCTCTGCTGTTCTTCATCAGCATCAACAGAAACAGACGTGCTCGGTTGACCATCTTTCATCCTTATCAGTTAGAGGCTTCATAGATAGTCAGTAAAGTTGAGAAGTCTATATTATTCATTTATTTTATTAAATGTTTTAAAGACTTAAGTTGCCCATTTTGGGGTGAGTTAAATATATTATATTATTCAGAGTTTTCTTTTGAGTTAAAGCTTTCTATTTAAGTTTATTGAATTTTATTCAATTTTTAAGCTTTTGCATGCTTAAGTTAGTCTTCTGCTTGTAGTCAGTCAGGATGAGGGTTCGCTTGGGGACCAGCAATGGACTTCGAGTACTGACCACATCCAGGGTGTAGACCGGGTCGTAAGGTGTGATTGCTTGTCAACAACAATTTCAGGCTCAAGATAGTGATATCATCCTTGTTACAACTCTTAAATCAGGAACCACTTGGCTAAAAACACTTTTATTTGGTTTAGTGAATCGAGTAAAACATCCTATTTTTGAACAAAATCACCCTTTACTTATCAAGAATCCTCATGATCTTGTTCCATACTTGGAACTTACACTTTATGTGGATGGACAAGTCCCTAATTTCTCATCCATTACCACACCTAGACTCTTGTCAACTCATTTGCCTTTCGCTTCATTGCCAAAATCTATCAAAGATTTAAATACCAAACTTGTTTACTTATGTAGGAATTCCAGAGACACCTTCATTTCTATGTGGCATTTTACTAACAATTTAAAACTAGATCACAAAGATATCAATTCCATTGGAAAAGTGTTTGATCTTTTTTGCAATGGTGTGAGCCTTTATGGTCCATTTTGGAATCACGTGTTAGATTATTGGAAAGCAAGTATTGAAAAACCAAATAAAGTAATTTTCTTGATGTATGAAGAAATTAAAGAGCAGCCAAAAATTCAGATTAAACGTTTGGCTGAATTCTTGGAATGCCCATTTTCCATAAAGGAAGAAAATTGTGGAGTGGTAGATGAAATATTAAGAATATGCAGCTTTGAAAATTTGACCAATTTGGAGGTGAATACAAACGGAAAATTATCATCTGGAGAGGAAAATAAAGTGTTCTTTCGTAAAGGGAAAGTTGGAGATTGAAAGAATTACTTCACTATAGAAATGAATGAGAAACTCAATCATATTATTGAACAAAAGTTTGAAGGATCTGGATTAAGGTTTTAATATATTTGATTGAGCATTTATTATATTTGTTTTGCCAATTATTGCATGCAATGTCTAATTGTTGTCACTTCATGTTTAAAATTGAGAAGTTTGTCACATTAATATTGTAAAATTGTGATTGCTTGTTGTTTGAGAAAATAAAAGAATGCACAAGTTATTTTGACATTTATGGGTATCCCGATTTAATTATTCTAGCTAGTTGAATAAAATAATTTAAGAGTGAGACAAAAGGACGAAAATAAATAATATAGAGCAATTCAAATCTAGCTGTCACTTCTTGATCGATAATCATCATTATCTATAAAGATCTGAAATTCGATATTAAATTAATTCGATCGCTTCCTTACTCATACAAAAATCTTAATCTAATTGATTTTATTTGATCTCCTTGACTTTGAATAAGAAGAGGAAAATATATTTTTTCACCCAAAGAACAAAATTATGCAATAAGTTAACATTTTAATAATATTATCCTCAGCAATTGCAACATATTAATAATATTTTTTCTTTTATTTACATCTAATTAAATATCATATTGTAGCACAATTTTTTTTTTTTCTTGTTACTTAAGTAATAAATAAAGTTCAAATTCTAGTACCATGAAGTTGGTGTGGTGTAGTGGTTATCACGTCAGTCTTACACACTGAAGGTCCCCAGTTCGATCCTGGGCATCAACATTACTTTTTTTCTCTACGGAAATGAATGTTTCATGTTCGGTACTCATATTGTCACTTTTTTTCCAAACGGAAATGAATGTTTTATTTATTATAACTTTTTTTCCCAACGGAAATGAATGTTTCATTTATTATGGTTTTTCATCGATATTCTGTACTCATATTATAACTCGACTAAATTCAAATTCATGCATTGCATGACTCTTTTTTTGGAGTGACTCTCTTGACAAGACTTTTTTCATTCTACAGACTCAAATCTAGACTTGTGGTTAAGGGTAAAAGGTTTCACCTATATTTCGCCACAATCCATGTCGTTATTATCTACTTATAGGGCCGTCGACTTACCTACTTAGGTTATTGGGCCGTAAAGAATTCCCCTTACAATTCAAAGCCCAATTTATTGGGCCCATGATAATTAGCACCATTTTGATTATCAAATAAGTTATTTTTCCAATTCCACATTTTCTCTCATATATATTATTTTTCCTTGCATATTTATTTTCAACCTTACATCATATATAAGACCAATAAATAGAACATACATAATTAATTAAATGGTTTACCATTTATTAGTTTGTTAATTTTGTGAAAATTCAAACTCGCAAGGATTAAAAGTGCGTGTAGCAACTACATGAAGGTGTTAACCAGAAATTAATCACAAATATCAAAATCAAAATTTATCTATATTTGATGGACTACCATGCCACAACCCAAATGACATATATTGTCCAATGTCCACATTGGTTCTATATCCACATGAATTTATCTTTCAAGCTACGTTATATTGAGCTTCAAAAGTATGTGTACCATGTGAACTTACATCACTTTCTTCTTCCATTGCGACGTGAGATTCGTCTAAAATGACATGTACACCTTATCTTCAAAAAATTTATCAACCTAAAAACCTGCCAATTCTATCTAACCCGCCCTCATCTATCAACCCTATGTCAAGCGTTACATAAAAAAACACAAAATTCTATCATTACAATTTACAATGACTACTCTTTCGTATATAATAGTAATGGATGTGAACTTAATGTTTTATTAAATATAGTTTCGTTGAAATCACTTTAACCTAATGTCATCCATTCGAATTAATGCAAGTACTTTAATATTACTGACCAAAAAAATCAAACATTTTCTGGTTCTGCCGCCTCATTCATCCCCTCTAAAAAATGATCATATGTTAAATATATTTAAATCAAAAAATCATACATAATTTATATGCCAAACGTCATTTCTAAATTCTAAAACATTGGAGCATTTTTAAAGTCAATATTAGACTATGGACACCTGTTATTTGAGGTTGACAGATCATTACGATATCAAATTCATCTGAATCGACATTTTTTTACGTAAAGTATAAATTATGTGTAAAATTTTAGTAAAATTAAAACAAATAATAATTTGATCTCTAATTCTAATATATATAATAATTTTTTATTAAAAAATAAATTCATAAAATTTAAATCTTGATCCACTTCTACTTATGTACATGCTACCAAACTTATTTCTTAAGTTGCTTAGTTAAACTATTAGCCAAAATTAAGAATTCAACGTTGATCGAAGAGGTGCTTGCATTAGCAATTTGTAGTATAGTTTTTCTTTTTTTTTAATGAGAGTGCAAGTGTACACAATTGACTCATGATGATGCATAAGTTTTTACGCATATCTCAATTAATTTATCCGATAATTCTCATTCAAACTATAATCAAAGATGAATTTAAAATTTGCTATGTAGTATGTATTCGATAATCTAACTTTGAGTGAATCGAAAAATATGTCTGATTATCTTTATTTCATATACAATATTACATTCTTCAAATAATTCAAATTAAAGTAATTGAATGTCTAGCTCGTGTCTATGTGGCATGCATGACTGATTAATATATTTCATATATCATAGTTGATACTAATTCATGAAATATAATTCACTTTCAAGATGTCTCGATGGCTAAAAAGTTATGTATTAGGTTTTAGTATATATCCACGTCAACAAAATAATAAATCAATTACATCTCTTGAAATAATCTATAATTCTTTATTAGTAAATAAAAAGGTTGAATTTTATTTCTAGTTTTTGTATTTTTGCATTGATCACACGTGGGGAGTGGGTTCCTTTTATTTATCCAAATCAAATATTGTGAATTGGTCAAAAAAAAATCTGCTTATTAATTATTAATAATAACAATTAATGGCTAAGTAACCAATTAATCACTTTTTATATCACAATGAAACGTCATAACGTGTTTTTTTTCTTTTTTTAAGAACAAAAAAGTTTGGGTTAAAAACTTATGCAAAACATTTGTATCCGTACTACAATTGCACTTATGATTTTGTTGCTATTATAATCTAGAAGTATAATCGAACCTCGTTATAACAATCATTATTCGTAATTATAATACTAACATTTTTACGGTATGGATTTGATTTTCTCGAAAATTAATTTTTCTTATTATATTTTACTTCTTTATAACAATATTTTACTTATAACAATCATGAAACATTATTATAGCGATACTTTCTTTGTAAAATTGCCAACGAATATCTAAAGAAAATCATCTTTTTCAAAATATAAAATGGTAGTAATAAACTAATAATACATGCAGAACTAGTATGAACATGTCGATATATGGTAACTACAGATGAATTAAAAAAAATGAATTTTGGATCTAATTAATAAAATATCATAAAGTTCACATTTGCATGAAAACATGGAAACAGGTTCTCTTATATGTTTTCATTGACTTTAATAAATAAGTGAACCGACCATTCTGTATCCCCATGATACCAAACAAATTAAAATTTCCCTTGTTATATATCCATGTCTTCATATTCAAAATAATTATTTTAAAAAAATTAAAATAGATAATTTGAGACTGGAGAAATCCTCAATTTGTAGTATATAAAAGAAGAGTGTAAGTCAAAATTTTGGAATTATGCCAAGGCTTATTGTACTTTCAATATGTATTGGTTAACTGTAAATGTATGGTTGACTTTTATTATCTTTATCTTTTTTATTTTATAACCTATGGTCAAATCAATCGAGAAAATAATAACAAGGGCTATGTGTATAAACTACGTGGAAATTAGATTTTTTTCTTTGGTTTAAAGTAAGTTTTGTTGAAATAATATGAATTTTTATGCCAGCAACCTCAATTCAAAGGTGCATGTTGATCTCTCTTGCCTA